TAGACTAAATACTAAACAAGGCCATAGAAATGCCTAAGAAATGCCAATTTGCATTTTATTATCAAATGAATGAGTTTCTATGGTTCTAAACGTTTTAAATTCCTTGTTTGGACACAATATTACCGAAATTTGTCTATGAGACAAGTTTTTGAAATTATCTTCACGTCAAAATCGAAAAAAAAAACCTGTTATGACTGTCAGTAGGCAGTGCTGTCAAATTACTATGGTTCACTTTAGTAGTTAGTGGTCATGAAAGCTTCTTGTTTTCCCAACCATCCAATTTACTATCAAAAATAACGTAACAGAAGACATAACTATTCGTTTTTTTTTGTTGTACTATAAACTCTCTAACATTAAACTATTGCACTTCAGTCCCAAGAAAAGATCCAGAAGGTTGAAGTTGAAATAATGTAATCCTATCAATTAATAGACAGCTAATAAGCAGCTTGTAGTAACTTGCACTGTAATTCCATAACATTACATGTGTATCCAAAATATTTGGGTGTAGGAAGCTGGAAGGCGAAGAAGCCTGACCTGTAGTAGCGGCAGCAAGGATCTACAGTAATTCCAAATTAATCGACCACATCACAAACAACATCCACGAATTGTCATAAACATCGGCACACGCTTACAAACGTTATTAGATTCACAAACGAACAATTTTATGTCTGTTTACGTATGATCAGTCAGTGGTTTTTTGTTTTGTTTATGCGTAACGCACCCACCCACAGCACGTCATTAACTGGCGCCGATCTAGAAGGCGGAGCAAGACAGCGACAGGCGACCGGCAGGCTAGCCGGCTCAGGCGGCGTTGCCAAGTGTTGCTTCGGCTTGAGAGATGCGACCTGAATAGTCCAGGAATACTAGATCCATTCATATAAGGTGCATTCAATATTTTGAGACACGGCAGTTGCTGAATCAAAACAAAAAAAACGACAAAATATCATCTTGCAGACTAGGTAGTTTTTAGTGTCCAAATAATTCATTCCACGTTTTTTGCTCGCTATGATCGCTGTTCGCTGACGTTTAAGCAGCTCTTACAGCTGCAAAGCGAGTTCACAACAGGTGTTCAACAGCTTGTGCTAAGTTAACATCTGATAGAAAAACCTACGAAATGTCAAAAAAAGGTCGAAATGTCACTTTTCAAGATACGTAATACCCGCACGGGTATCATGTAAAAAACGTACAAAACATCAAAAAAACCTATGTCAACTTGCAGAGTAGGTAGCTTTTAGGGCGCAAATAGTCATTCCACGTTTGCTTACTAGGATCGTTGTGAACGTCCATCTATGGAGGAATCACTCAACTAAACTACACGCATTATTGGTTGCATAGTTTTTTGAGGCTGAGTGATTCGTGTCTGTAGTTTTTATCTCAGAAGAAAGTTGGCTGAATAGCAAGATCGCATCTAGATGATTATCTGTATTGGTCTGCATGAGTATAAAATCAGTGATATTTGCTGTATGAGAAAATAATTACTGAATATGCTGAATATGATGGGTTATCTATATGTTGTGCTTTCTGAAGAGAGGTTATGTTCAAAGTTATAAATTACGAAAAACTGAGAATTACGGGAAATCATCACCACGCTCACGTTGTGTGTACTTACTGTTACCATGTATATGGTTTGTAATCCGACAGTGTAGAGTGAATATACTTATTTCTTATCTCTCTCATTTTTGAAATTCAGCAAATTTGTATATTTAATTTCCAGAATGGATGAGAAAAAGTGGATGCGCAACTAATTTCTAGCTCTGAATCTCAATTATGTGTATTTGAGATAAGAACCCAATGTAATTATCATCAATACATACAACTTACACAGCTTAGGGTCGTATCGTCAGTCGTTCCTACAATTGTAGGACGCCTTTATGGCCTCCTTGATTGTCATAATCCTTTCTCTCCTTCAAAAATTTCTAGCTTGCACCTGTTCTGTGGCAGCGTCAGCGCTCTCCTGTTGTGAAGATATGTTTTCTTCTTAAATTGTAGGAAATTTCAGGCTGATAAAACATGATCCAGATCAAAATCATGCACAATTTGATGTAAATAGATATTTGTGACATAACCTCAAAATAGAGCGCTGACACGGAAAAGTAGAAAACTATGACAATCAAGGAGGCCATAAAGGCGTCCTACAATTGTAGGAACGACTGACGATACGGGCCTTAGACCTCCAGTAATGCCATCTCAGAAGCATATCAGAACCAAAGATTGATAACAAGCCTCATGACGTTTAGGCAACACGTACAACTAAGTGCTAAGTTAATATCTTGTAGAAAAACATACATAATGTCAAAAAAAAGCAGCATAATGTCACTTTTGAAGATACGTGATACCCGTGCGGTTCGCCACGGGCAAACGTGGAATGAACTACTCGTATTTGCACACTAAAACCTACCTAGCCTGCAAGATGACATTTCGTAGTTTTTTACGTATTACAGGTTTTTTACATAATAGCCGTGCCGAACAAGATTCATTAAGCTCTTTATCAAACCGTAACTTAGTGACTTGTGAGGTGGTGATGTCTTGCGTAGGTTTTATAAATTGCTTTATCTCATTTAGTGTTACGCTTACCCCACCTCACAATTAACGTTAGTTTATTTGTTAATGAATTTCATCTTGGGTTTTTTTTAATTCCGTTGTCAGAACGGACTTACATAACAGAAAATGATAGTTCTCCTTAGGCTGATGATGAGATAAAGAAATATGCAGCTCTTATATGTCATGTGCTCATATGAGAAGATTGTTTATTTTACAGAGAGTTTCCTAACTTCGGTACGATACTGCAGAGGGTGATTTGTTAGGCAGTTTTAAGAAAAAAGTTCCTATGAACATATGCCCGGGATTGCTTCATTTCTGCACTTCTAACGCAACGCCTTCATCAGTTGATGAAGGATTATGTTCAGTACATATAAGGCCCTGTTAGAAAAAAGTTAGCTTCTTGATGTGTAACAAGGGAATTAAACGGACCAAGTCAGTCAAACAGATCCATACAAGTAGTCTATAGACATTCTTTTCCTGCCCTATAGGTAGTCCATCTGGTCACCTCTCCCTTATACCTAACGTGGTTAAACGTGGCAGTGCAGCAGTAATGCAAGAACACTCACCAAGATCAGCACGCGCCGAAGGCAGAAGTAAACGCGTATCGAAAACATTTCATTTTTAAGGGTAAATTTACGGGGAAATCCCATGATGTGTGAAATATGTTTAATAGGTGCGTAGCATTACCAAAATTGGGAGCGTATACTAACATCAAAAAATTAAGATATTCCCTCTCCCACCCCTACAATATCCCATCCCCAAATTGCTTACCCCTCCAATTGTTTTCAAAAATGACCAGGGTCCAGTGAATCATCAAATAAGTTTAAGCGATTTTTATGCTAAATCAGATATGACGAAAACACAAGAAATTAAAAATTTGTATTTTCAGTTGCTTATTTTCGAGAAATATAATAGCTACAAAAGAGTCACTGCAGATGCGGATCTCATGCACACTAAAAAAATTAAAACATTAGCTCCATGATCCTCGGATACAGTTCGCTCTGTTGGCGTGAAGCGCCTAATTCCAGAAGTAGTGATCACGTCACACCTTTTCAAGATATTTGCTAATAGCAGTGATTCGTGATTCAAAAATATCCTAATCACAGTTTTTGAAATATCTGCCACCACTTATGTTGTGTGTATGGTTTGGGCTACTAATTAAGACATAGCATTCAGTTTGCTAAATTCCGAGAAAAAAACAGTTCTACTTAGTTTATAAACTGTAAACATTCAGTTTTCTTTCATTCAATCCTACCTCACTATACACTATTCACCTCACCAGTGACGGGTTAGTATGAGCGGATATTGAAGAAACAGTTTTGATTATTGAAAATCTCATCAGACAATCCCTTCAACGAAAATGGCAATGTTTCCTGTTACGACAAACGGAAGTAACATCTGCTGTTATTGCTGGTGGCATTTGATATTTTAAGTCCATTTACGCAAGGCTTCCGACACCAGACTTTTTCTATGTTCAGACTGCAAGTATCATGCTTTCGCTTCCGCTTGAGAAGTAAAATATACCTATAAGGTAACCATTTCTTAAGTAACAAGTAACAAGTAAACACAACTTGATTTTTATCATCTGTCTTATATGCCTGAAATTTCTTAAAATTCGAAAAGAAAGCATAACCCCGAAATAGGAGAGCGCTGACACTGACTCAGAACAGTACAAATCTGGAAATACCCCAGCCTTTCTGAAGGAGAGAAAATACGTACTATGACAATCAAAGACGCCATAAAGGCGTCCTACAATTGTAAAAACGACTGGCGATACGGCTCTTAATGTTGTTGCTCGTGGGCCATAACGTGTGCGCCCGCAGGGGTGTACCATGGCGGCCGTGACTCTGCCTGAGAATTTGGTTCGATCTTAATGCTGAGTTTGCTACCCCCGCTCTTCGAAAAGTCTTTTGTTGATGATCGGCATACTTGAGAAAAATTCCTGCTGCTGTTCATGGTCAATATTATAATATAAAAATCTGTGAAATGTAGTAACATTGACAACTCAATTTTCCTATAATTTCTTATTTACGCAGGTGCCAACAAAGATTGGTAACAAAGACTAGGAATGAAAATATCTAGACCATAATTGATGTTAATACTGATTTGTCTGTAGATGTAGGATGTATGAGACTATACAATGTATGTATATATATATATATACTGCTCACACATACACACACACACACACATATATATATATATATATATATATAGGTATTTGCTTACATATGCTTATGACAGCTTGTGTTTTTGACATTGCTATTTTAACAAACAAGAAAGGACTGATTCGTCAAGATATGGTAAACTGTTGATAACACATGCCGTTATAAGATCTCCTATATTCCACCAGATTTTTATAACATATAAAAAAAGTATAGCAATCTCAGATTTATACGAGTTGGCAGCGTTGCGTGTCATTTATGCACAAGCTAGCAACCATGATTCACCCTCAAAAAATGGCGGTTTGACAGCGTCATAAGTCAATAGTGCTACCCTTGAATAACATGGAATTCTATCTTCTTCAGCGTGTATATGTTTTGTGGTAAAAACGTTGACGTCTCAATTCTGAATTGGCTGAATGCTGAATATTTTACATATTTCCGGCTAACAAAAGCTTTTGTCTTTAAATGTGGATATAGAGCTAGCACCACTTTATTAATTTCCACAATGGTAGGTACCAAGCTGTTTTCTCCAATATTTTACCCAGCACAGCTTCCTCTATGGCCAAGCTAAGGGGCGTAATTCGGTACTAGTTACAAGCATTATGAACTAATTGGATGATTGATTTGCTTTTTAGACGGAAAGGAATTCGCCCGAAGAAGGAAATAATGTTCCACTCACGGACAACTCGCTCATAGTTGATATATCTGATGCTCTGAGTGAAAAAGACAAGGTGAAGTTCACTGTGCATACGCGCACTACTATGAAAAACTTCCAAAAATCGGAGTTTTTGGTGGTGCGCCAACATGAAGAATTTATTTGGTTACACGATCGATATGAAGAGGAGCCCAAATATGCAGGGTACATTGTGAGTAACATTCAATGTTAATTTACTAGAACCAAATAAATTTGATTAGTGGCATGCTATTTTTCTGGTGCTTCAGAAAATGAGCTCATGTTTTGTAGTTGCAGAACAAGCAACTGGACCAAATAACCATTTTCAAAGTACATTTCATCCCTTCATAATATATGACTGAAAATTTTCAATTATAGAGGCCCTTGATTTGCATGGTGTAGTACCATGGTCATTGGTAGAGTTGAAAAAAAATCATCTACAATTATCTAAATATGCACATGTTCTTGGTTTTTATCTGGTACTCATCATACTTCACCCATTTTTACAAGACAAACAAGTTGTGTAGATCAGAGTATTGAAGATGTGATGTGCAAAATCTGAGGTCATATACCTTAGCCAAGGTTAAATCATATTTTTCCAAAGAATCAAGAACTGATTGGGATGATTTTTTCTAAATATTAACTGTCTTTTAGTATATATATTTGTAAATATATTGGGTAGCCATATTGTATTTTTTTGTCATTTTCTCTGTCAATTGTTAGCCATTTGTGGTTGGATGGCCAAAGCTATATTAATAGTTTATTTAATGGCAGGTAGACTTTTTTTTATACTCCAACCACCATGAAGGCCTAAAGACTTGACACCCATGAGGTACCATGGGGCTATAGGGCTATACAGGCGAAAGGAGGCACCCTAGACCCTCACGAGGGAAAACCTGTGCATGTAGCATGCACACATTCTAGCCCCACCTGCAGGGTGGTACCTCCACGTTCGATAGTTAAAGACCATCTACCACCTGTGAACAATAACAACATCCATAGTTAAAAGAAAAATTTATCTTGGGATGGGATTCGAACCTGTGTAGCTCACAGTGATTAGTAGACCCATAATGTTTCTACCACTACGCCACCACTGCTTCAGAATCAGTGGCATCGTGAGGCCACATTGGAGATCCAGCTAACAATGTGAACTGGGACATAGTTCCAACAGACAGCTTGCTGTTTTCAATTTCACAGTGGCTGATTCTGGTAGCAGATGGCACTTTGTGAGGTCTGATTTCAATAATATATTTTAGTTTATTCTTTTATTTCTGTCCTAGAATGTCATGACATGGCACACTAGATTTTATTAATACGTTCTTTTAAATGAAATAGCTGCTATAATATTGCAATGGATGTAACAATTCTCATAATTCTCATCCTTATTGGAACTAAATATGACATGAAGGCAGAGATAAAATATGATAATAATCCCAACTTGCAGCAGTTTCGATCTTATGACGAGACCAATTGAGAGTTTGGTAGAACTAAACCTAAATTATGCTTACATAATATGAGAAAAGGTTTTATTTTCAGAAACGCGTGAAATTCGTTGTTTACGTTACTTTTCGACATGGCTGTATTTTGTTTACTTTGTTTTGGGTATTTTTGTTTTCCAAGTTTTCATAAGAAATAAAATATGCAAATAGACAACACTACAATGTATTTTCAGTAGCAGCTGCTCTGTAGACTTACTGTCTTTTTTTTTTGAAAAAACTTAGCAGCAATACCCTGCCATCAAAAATGAGCTATGCAAATGTAAAAAATATGATGTAATCCTGACTACTATTTGATAGTGCTGTAATTTCTTGGCAAACATATCAGGAAGGCTTGGAAAATGCATATGAGCTCAAACTTAGCATGTTATACACATATAATCCTTTGACTCACAAGTTATGTCTTCTGTTCAAACCAAGTAACACTTTGTGAAACAAGGTAGTTGATGCATCCTTATTATCTTTGTGTATCTCACATTTTCTTTAGCTAATTTTTATTGTTCTGGTGTTATCTGATCTGTACTCCTTGGCATCTTAACATAAATAACTTTTAAAAAATGCCGTGCTAAATGGATTTATTAATTTATTCAGAAAACAAAAGTGTTTCAGCACTTATTATCACTAATATTTCGATATCAAATTTAATTTGTTAGTATCTATCTGGCACTAAAGATTTGATATCAAATTTTTGGTGACATTAAGCACTACAACATGTTGTACTCAACAATTTTTTGGTATGATGGCTATATTAATTTGGAATCCAACAATAAGACAGATTTTTATAACATTCAACAAGTTTATCTTAATGAGACAAACTAATGCTAACATAATAAAGAAATACTAACACAAAATAGATACTTTTGGTGGGCTTAACAGTTTTAACCCTGAATTTACTTTCCATAGCTGCAGGTTATTTTGTGAAATCAGCACAGTAAATACTGTATGTTAAAAAATGCTTTCCATTATTTGATATAAAGAAAAACAATGTAAAAGCTTTCCCTTATCCCTATATGTTTTTTCACTACAGAAAAAACAAAATCAGGCTTTTAGATGTATATTAAGATGTAATAGATACACAAGAATAAAAGACATGCTAGAATTAACTAATTTATTAAGTATCAAACAAAATATATTTTACAATACAATGATAGTCATCTATAAAATGAAAAATGGAATGTATCCCAAACACATATTGGGAGGCTTGCAAGTTGTCAGTGATATTCATAGTTATAATACAAGGAATAGGTTTGATTCTTATGTTCCTGCTGTCGGGTCTGCTTTTGCGCAAAATAGTTTATTTCATGAAGGACTTATAGATTTTAATAATTTACCAGTTGCAATCAAATCTACAAATTTTTTTAAAAGTAAAAGGCAATTGAGAATTTACATAGAAAATAGTGTTAATGTTAGATAGATAATAACATTATACATATGTTGTATTGTTTAGCTTGAAGCTATTAAATAAAGGTTATTATTATTATTATTTTAATTAATGTGGTATACATCATAGTTTATGTGATCCAATTTATAATAATGTTAAATAGTTTTTCACACACTGATTGATAACTTAATCTGCTAACAGCCAGGCTCACAGCTACTTACTGCTAAAGTGTTACCTATTTTCTTGGATTTTGTACTTAATATCTTTATTTCTGCGAAGTCTCGAACTGGGAAGGCATATTGCTCCTAATTTCAGGGGCACTAAAATCTTATTCATAAATAATCTCTATATTCATTTTTTTCTAATGATATACAAACACCTTAAAAATGGTTACAAGTACTCGTATATTGACCACCTTTACGTGATCAGAAACCTGAAATAGAGTGAAAAGTAAATTTTGGATGACTTTTGAAGAGTCCAAGAGAAAATTTATGATTCCTTATATGCTACAGCTTTTTATCGGAATCTGTGGTATTAGTTCAAACTTTATTTTTTTATGCAAACCTAGATTCCACCTCCGCCACCCCGTCCAAATTTTGATGCATCCAGAGAGAAACTGCAACGTCTTGGAGAAGGAGAAGGGACTATGACAAAGGAAGAGTTCACAAAGATGAAGCAGGAGTTGGAGGCGTAAGTTATAAATTAACTGAGCAGTACTCTGTTAACTTTTACCCTTACATCCTTACCATTACTAAGTCATCTTGGTAGTTAGTAGAGAGTGCATAATCACATTACCGAATATTAATCGTTAATGTTAATCTTAGTTGACACCTAAATGTTATTATCCATAAGTGGCGTTTGGCTAAGAGCATCAAGTGTCAGGTATCAAGGGAAAATGGTTAGATCGTTTTTGCGCTAAATTCTAAAATCATGCAAACATATGTTCTTGTAGTAGCGTAGCAAGAACAAAGTATATTTCGAAGGAGACTCATGTATTGAAGCACAATAAGATCTGAAGTGCTGATGCTCACTAAATCTGTCTGCAGCTGAGAATGTGCAGTGGTGTTCCTCCTGAAAGTTTACCCTTGTATACAGCTACTCGGCCAAGCTCTCTTCATGCGCTTTTCTGTTGAAATTCCTTGATTTTACCAATTACTATGACAGCGGTCATACTTGTGCTCTCGTTGACTTCAAGCTGCAAACTCAATCACATGATCACCCTTAATGCTTAACACTTGATATCCTGATGAAATTGGACTCATTATTGCCATTGTCACAATTCTTTTTTATTTCGTTTCTGGGCGAGGAGTGAACTTGGTCATGGATATTTGGCAATACTTCAGAAATATTGGCGTTTTCAAATACAGGGGTTCCGTACTTGATTGGACATGTGATATGGTAAGTAGTATGGACCAAAACCTTGTTACATCTGAAAGTAAAAAAGTTCCAAATTCAGTTTTTATGGATATACAGGATGATCTATCTAAATTCGCCAAATCTTTTATATCATTTATCTCAGGCGGTATCGAACTGATTTCTTTGAAATTTTGCATGATAACAAACTAAAGTGTGTTAATTTAGATAAAAGCAAAAAAGTGAAAATACCGAGTCCAGCCTTGTTGAAGTTTTAACCGTCCGTCTAGTTTTACGTTTCTCCTTGACAGGTAACTTTGTTATCATGCAAAGTTTCAACAAAATCGGTTCAATAGTGCCCGAGACATGCAATGTTAAAGATTTGGTGTGCTTCGATAAGTATATTTGTAAAAACTGAACTTAACGTTTTTTATTTTCAGATATGAAAAGGTTTCAGTATATACCGCCTACCATTTCACATTTCCGTTAAAGTGCGGAACACCCTGTATTGATTTCTCATCTACAGCAAATTCCACTAGAAAAGGACAGCTTAGATAGCAATCAGCTATGAAACTATTGTCAGCGTCAAAAACGTTCGCCACTTCGCCGTAGAAAACTGCTTGTAAATTCACCTAGTTCAATGATAGAGGAGGTTTTCCCTGTTCAGCAGTCCTAGCCGGTGTTGCTGCGTACCATGCCAGCAGCCGCAGATATTCTTTGCAGTTGTAAAAATTGTAATAATCCGATATGATCTAGTGTAGTTTGTGTGAACCAATAATAAAAAGGGGTATGCTCATCCAAAAAGAAGGACGGTGTACTGGCGACTATTTATTTATTACAAAATTTTCCGTGTCTATGTTGCGGAAGAAAAAACAGGCGCAAACTATCAGCAAAGTGTAGTAACTTCTGACGACTTCTGAACTACGATACTTACTAGTTTTTAATTTAGTATCGGATGATAATTCCGATATATTAAATACTTAAAAAAAAAGTTTAAAAATTGTTGGTAATGCTCCTTTGCAAAATATGCCTCTTTTCACAGGGTGATGCATATCTACTTGACAACACACACATTTTCTAAATAGAATATCCTATACGTTTTAGTATATTTTGTAATTTCACTTCAAAAGAAGTTTGCACTGCTACTTCTGGAGCTACGGGATGTTTCGTGCGAAAAACAGTTTGCAAGTCACTCACTTTTGCAGATAAAGTAGCAAACTTTTTGACAAAATGAGCTGCATAACCCATAGTTCCTAACGGCGACTTCTCAAATAGCGACAGTTCCGTAATGTAAGTTTTGTAAACTATTGCAGTTACACTTTTTATAGGTTCTAGACGTGTGTTTTGTCTGATATACGTATGTGTTTACAATTATTTCTTTACTGCTTTACATTTTACAGCAGCAACATTTCTTTGAAATTATGTTATTTTAGTAATAGTGGATTAAGCCAGTTCGGGACCAGTAGTAAATTATAACCTGGGGCCCAGGGGCGATCGACAATTGAAGAGCGGGGGAGGGGGGTGGCGGCTATATCAGTTCTCTCTGTCTCAGGCGAGATATTTTTTCACATTTGAGTGAAAGTTTTGAGGAACATCATTTATCATTAAAACAAAAACTTTTGAAGGTATATTTTTTTAATCTTTTAAACAAAAGAGGTATTTGATAAATTCTCTCTAAGATTGATCGTTCCGAGTTATTGTGTGGGTATAGTTTTTGTTTTATATGAGCGAAGAATAAAAATCTTAAATTTTTGGAGATCTAAAATATCGGAACTATCGACCTGTTACACATTAAAAAACTCGGCTTGTTTGTAGAAGAACCTAGTTGAGCAGTCGTTGTCAGAAATGTAAGGTTAAATTACGTTGGTTGCCATTTTACTGGTGGTTTGAATGAATGAACGAATTTTGAAATTAGAGGCATTCCGGCCACCATAAGGAGCCAGTACATAGGCCGCTTAAGCGGGCCCTTATGCACCTCTACATTCCTTAAATCACAAGCCTCGCCCATTTAGCGAAGTTGAGAAGCCCCTTGAGTCCAACCTCCTTGACGTCCTGAGGGTCCAAAGTAATGGACCCCAGTATAGTCTGCTTATAGTAGCTCAGAGCTTCACAGCGACACAAATCGTGCGCCGAGGTCTCTTCCTCTACCCCGCAGCGTTCAAACAAGGGATCCTCAGCCACCCCCTTCACGTGCAGGTGGCGCCTTAACGTGTTATGGCCAGACAACAGTCCCACCAGCAACCTTAGGTTGGCTCTATCCAGAGATAGCAGAAACGTCCATCCTTAGCACTGGGCCCTTCAATGAGTTCCCGTGCCTGGCGGAGATGTCTGGAGATACTGCTCCATTTCTGAGAGTGTTGTCTTGCAATCCACGTCATCATTTTCCTCCTAATTCTATGCGCGGGCACTCCTAAAGCTGGTTCAGGACCAACGAGCTTGCTGGCTGATCCTGTCTTCGCCAGAGCGTCCGCCGTCTCACTGCCCCTTATCCCAGCGTGATTTGCTCCCGTTCTTTTCAGTTGAGTTGGATGTGCCTCGTGATTTTAACAGTGTTTACATAATGCAGTAGATTGAAAATATGGCAGCAGAGAAGAATACATAGCGAACGTAAATATTTTTCCGTTCATTTGTACATTGTAAATACTTACAGGAGCTTTCTACCGTTACAAATCTGGTTTAAAGCTTTTTCATAAATAGTTATAAATACTCTGTCGTTTCTTTTTTGCCAAACTTACTCATTTTTATTATTGATTCACACAAACTAACCTAGGTCAGATCGGAATATTGAAATTTTTACGACTGCAAAGAATATCTGTGGACGATGGCATGGTACGCGGCAACACCGGCTAGGACTGCTGAACACGGAACACTAAAACTTCCTTTGTCGTTGTACTAGGAGAATTTACATGGAATTTTCTTCACCGAAATATGACACTGACAGGAGAGTTTCATAGCTAATATCTAAGCTGTGATTAAAGAACTGTTTTTGAGGTAGCCATTTGACTGTGTGATATATTGTTTTTGAAAAAGATGTAATTGAAATAAATGTAGAGTATCTTTCTGACTTGATAGTCGTCACTCTATAGAAATGTAGTAATGAAAGAATTTATATCTCATGATAACAGGTTCTCTGGGTTGGTAGGTTTGAGGAACGTAATTTTTATTATGAGAAACATTATTAATTGCTGCACCGAAATATCTAATTTCGGATAATTGTTGAGTAATTACAAAAACTACTGATTTCCGCCTGTACGTATATAGGGTGAGATACGAGTATGTTGCATTTTAGCCCCCTGGTAGCGAATTGTCAGTAACCAAGTATTGTGTAGTAAATGACTGGTTGTTTATTGTACATTTTCTTCCAGAGAATATTTGGCAACATTTAAGAAAACCGTCGCCATGCACGAAGTATTCCTTACGCGCTTAGCTAGTCACTCTGTATTCCGTGAAGATCGACATTTGCACGTTTTTCTCGAATATGATCAAGATCTGTGCGCGAGGCCTAAGGTAATTAATGACTAACCACTTATTTTAGCGGGCATGTTATACAGGGTGACTTCGAAGTTGAGTCATTTATTTTAACAGTGAGTAGATCTGATCAAAAGAAATGTTTTTTCCTTTAACATTTTTGTGGTAAAATTAAAGTAACAAAGTTATAGCCCTTTAGAAGTTTGAGTACCGCCCTGTCTCAATAATAATATTATGTGCTCGTGTTTGGCAACAACGGATATAATCCGCCTTATCGGTTCATCGCATCGGAAACAAAAAAGCGAAAGAATTTGAAACGCTTATCACGATGTTTTTACTACAATTTTATTCAGTTGTATTCAGTCAATGTGTCAGTCGGTAACGCGTGAGCGAATAGTGGTGTTTGTTGCGTGGCTCAAACGAAATAAAAAATGGCACATGTTTACGAAAATGCCGAACTTGTGGATACGATTCTTATTTACAAAATGCTGCCGCGGCATCACGGATTTATGCGAATCGGTTTCCCAATCGAGTGCAACCAACCCCTCGTGCCTTTGTTAATGTAGTACAAAGGGCTCGTGAATCAGGTGACTTACGACCTCACAGGGGAGGGCATGCCGGTGCTCCAAGACCGCACGATCAAATACAGGTCCGCACTGAAATACTTGTCGGGAGAATACTTTATAAAACAAGGTAACATTTTTTTTTATTTTTACACACATATTTTGGTTTATCTTCCTTCTACAATCATCTGAAAATTAATGACTCAACTTCAAAGTCACCCTGTATAGTCATAATTCAAATGAATTGCATGTTCATTAAATAAAGGACCTTGCAATTGCAATTTTTGTGTTATTTTTTATGTGTGTATTGTGTTTTTCTTATTAGGGTTGTCAGACATAAAATATTGCGCATAAAAACACGCTAAGTAGTAACGTTTCCAAGGCATTGGACCGAGAATGATGTGCAATCTACTTTCTCTCACGAGCTGTGCACGATATATTTTCTGTGCCCAAATGGACCAAAAACCCATCAAACTTGTTCAATGGATTGAAATATAATCACACATTATCTGAGTTCAGGAATTAAAATGTTCGACAATACGGTCGGGAAGACACAAGAAATCAGTGAGTTTATGAAAGTGTGCATCACGTGGAAGGAGTTCACCAGCACGCTAGACGTGGCATCACGTGCTGTAACAATAGAGTGCTTCCGCCTTAGTGCTTCATCGACTATTACAAAGAGACAATAATTCGTTTTGTTGCATTATACCAGGAGCTTCCTAGACAATCTTATTTTTCATATTACCTCAACCTCCAGTATTTTAGAAATGTTGCTACTTGCATGATATTGTTTTAGATTATTTTGTTTTTCATTAATAAATGAAATGCGTATCATTATTGGCCACCAGAAAAAAAAACAACATCACCAACATCCATTCAGAACTTCCATAGGTGTAATTATTATTACAGAAAACTAATTTGCTGTTTGTTTATACGAAAAAAATTAGTAGATATGAGTTTTGGCAGTCACAAATATCTCATACTTAAACGTGAACGTTCGCCTTTTCGACATTATAGTCAATGATTTATTCGAGGCAAATGTCAATTGAGGTTGATATCAATGTTTGTCAGAGTTTATAGCGCTTTTTTGCTAATTTGTTGTGAATTTAGTTATTCTGAGTTTGAGTAGTAGTGAGCCGATTTTTCGTTTTCCGTTAGCGGGAATGCCTACCTATAGTCGAAATCACGAAAGATGACGATTACGTAATCATTTTAGTCTGCGACAGCGATTTGTGAATGTTTTTAATGAAGTTTCAGATATGCTAGACAGAGACAATCAGAATTTTAGTATCTAAACAAACTATATTGCTAATATGCATGTATCCGACAAAGATAGATGTTTTCATGTTGCATGATCGATCATATTTGAAAGATGAATAGTTAGGTTATGTTAAAGCATGTTAGGTTGTTTTCGAATAATACTTTGGTCTTTGCTGTTTCTGTTTTAAGGCATTCTAATCATAAGTGTTTTTCAAAACAAAAACTCCCCACTTAGATTATTATTACTCAAAACCATGAAATAAAATGAAAATAAAAATAATCATTGAAATAACCTCACTTCGCAAAATCATAATATAAATTTGTTGTCATTATTCCTGGCATCGTGATTTTATCATTGACGTACGTCCATTGATTACTTCAGTACAATTTATGGTATGACGTAATAGTCATATTTCGTGATTCTGACTATAAGCGCTCCTGGACTATGCTGGTTTTGTGTCTCGGCACGTTACGAATCTTTTAGACCGTTGTAGTAACATACTATATTGGATCCCGAAAATGAAAAGAAAAAATAAACGAGGTGTCACCTTTAAGACAGATGAACAAAATATTGACAAAAAAGTGTCATGTACTGTTGTGACCAAAACGTATAGATTAAAGAATTTTGAATACATGTGGCTTTATTGGAAAGAAAAATATGGGGGAATAAAAAGTGTATATTTATGATTGTCAAAGCTCTATAATCTCAGAAACCTTTATCATAAATTACCATATTCTCTTATTTACAATGTGTCCAAGGTAGGGTGTTGCACTTCTCGTGCACTGGTGTTACTTTGGAACATTAGTCATTTTTGAAATAATAAATCATATTACAGGGTAAACTGCAACAACTGGGCGGTCTTATAAAATCTGTCGGTACTACAACTGATCAGTACTACCTGAATGCAACCGTCCGAGATGTTGCCGATTTTTTCGAGCAACAGATGAATTCCCTTACAGAGTACCATGGCCAACTAAAGGAAGCAACCACTAGAACTGATAAGATGACAGAAAAGCACAAAGGTATGCTCTCTTTTGTCCATTGTCTGCATGAGAGTTAGTGCCACAGGCATTTTGTTGCATAATGGATGGTACCCGTGGATAAAGTACCATATTCCTACTCCATATTAGTCTGTTTCGTTAGGAACCGTGGTCACCGAAAGCAAATGGCAAATAGTTTACCCACCGTTTGATGAAACAACTCATATGAGCAGCATTGTGAGATTTCATTGATGATAATCGGATAAAAATACTTCTTTGCGTTTTGTATTCTTTGAAGCAATTAAGTTAAAGCAGTAGGGTTGAAAACCTTCCACAAGAGTCACAGTTGATACAAGAAGCATGACAACAAGTTAATAGTGTAAGAGTGATCATCAGACTCGAGAATTATGTTGGGAGAGGGAGAGGAGGGTAATATTGGCTAACTAGTTGAGATACAATTTTAAGGATCCTGTTGTTGCCTTTTGTTGAAGTTAAACTTTCGAAAATGTAATATTTCTTCTTCAGGACGTACTACAATAATTGTGTCAGCTTTGATCAATTACAGCATAATTAAAAATCAAATTTTGACATTCAAGTTTTTTTGACAAAGACAAAGGCAAAGATTTAAAAATTGGAGAAAAACCCATGGGGTATCAAAAACCACAAAACAATGCACCAATATATATATCAATATAACGTATTTATCAAGTATTTCTTTCAGTTTAGTGTTGTACTGATCAATATTTTAAGTGTGACCTGTGCATTGTTTGGTGTTTTTAATAGTTTTTTTTTTATGTTTTTTCGGATTGATTGTCCCGAAGGAAGAGTTCAATGCTGTATGTTGATTGTTAGTAATATTGTAATTGAGCAAAAGTGATATGTGATTTATTTTTGTATTACGTCTTTAAGAAGAAAATCAATATTTTGTAAGCTTAACATGGACGAAGGATAAACTTTATTTCTGGCCTAATTCGATTTTTAGTGTCGTGGCTGGAACTCCAGGGTCCTTGAAGTTGCAATATGTTTGCATACAAGGTGTTACTTCCCATATATCTTTCATTGCACAAGCATGTAAAGTTATGCATTGAGTTTTTTTTGCAAATAAAAATACTACATACGCGTTGAATTAGGTATCAATTTGGTTGTTGTGAGATGGGTTTGCTAATTTATTATTTTATTTTCTATTTCAACTTGCGGTAAGGTAGTCGGTGCTTCGCCATCAACCCACCTGCAAGAAAGCTACTGTTATGTTTTTGTTATTTTTTACATAATCAGCGGCAGATGTTACCTGTTGATTTGATGTTTTAGTGTTAATTCATTCTGTAAACAGTTAGAAATAGTGGGCTAAATCTGGTTCGTAGGTGGGCAATTCTCCTATTTCTATTCCTATTCTAGGCCTACTTGGTGTAGGGCAGCTATGGCAATGCTGGGGGGTTGGGATCATTGTCCTGATGAAGGAATGCTCTAAATGTTAACTTTGTTTCCCTTTAAGGCATTTGCGGTTTTTGAATAAAATTGGTATAATATGCCACTGTATTTTTACACACCACCTTTTACTGTCTCATCTCGAATGCGTTATGCATCTTAACTTTCGTGCGGCCTTGAACGCAGTAAAATAGAACTTTCTCAGATTGTTTATCACAATTTTCGTTATTTATTGCAGAATTAGCTGATAGTTATATAAAAATATCGGCAGGATTACTTCAGTTAGCAAATAGTGACGATGGGCACCTTGATAAGTTCTTAGCCAAAGTAGCAGAGACATATGAGAAAGCCAGGGTAAGTCTTCGTACATACTGTTTTATTATATAACGTCCTTTTAGGATATAGTGATTTGCATTGTTTACACTTCATATCAGATTTCTCATACAGCACCACAATGGGGGGTAATCTGGAAAGGTAGAAGAAGAACATGCTAGATAGGTTCGGGGTCATGTCTAAGGTTATAAACAAACATCTCAATTGTTCATCAGCTGTTCACGTCAGTAGAAGTCAAAACGTGATGAAGCATCATGAAAATGAATTACCTTTCTATAAAATATGTTTTTCCCATCTACTTTTGACTGTTTGACGTCCAACCACACTAGCGCCGTTTAGCGGGCGCGAAAATTGTGTATCGCTGTCATTGAGCATTGGGCTATCAGCAGTTAGAGTTCATAGTAAACGGGGAATTCCGGTTTCGATATAGATTAAATTTCATTTGGAAAAATGATGTTTTTAGAGCAGATATTGCATCCTAAAATATTATAAAAAGTGGTTATAAATATAGGTCACAAAATGTCTCTTTACCAAGGTACCCTCAGGGTTATTACATAACAAACCTATATAATGCCAAAAAACCCATACAATGTCAACATGTCGACTAAGTAGGCTAGTGTGTAAATAGTTCATTCCAGGCTTGCTACAGTGAGCATGAAGTGAACTACAGCTAGCTTTCAAGATGTGTAGTACCCTTTCCGGACTTCCGAAATTTATTGGTCACTGATAAGGCTGATAAAACACACCAAAAAAATGGGGGTAGTGAGATGGGATTAATCGTCAAATGTGCTACATGCAATTTTCAATGTCACACATTATCAACCAAGTTGGGTGGAGTATGGCAGGCACTGATCCTTGTAAGGCTAATTATTGAATACGGAGCATGGCGTTCCACCCACCGTACAACGCATTTTCCAAGATAAATTGAATTTTTATATCCGAAATTTGCCTTTCAGAAAAGTAGTGTCGCGAAAGACATTTTCTCTTTCTGTGCTGTGAATTTCAAGGCGATAGTTATATCCTCTTCAAAGATATAATATTTTCTCTATTTTGAAATGATAACTTTGACATTTTTTATCTCGGTAAGGAGGCATCTTAGGACTCGTGCTAATATGAACTTTCCATCTGGGCACATTGTCCGTCGCCACCCGGTATATTCTTTAATATAGTGACTATTACTATATTTTGGTCGTAGAAAATCGAAAGCAGGGTAGCCAGCGACCAAGATCTGAAATTGGCAGACACTCTCCGGTATTACATGAGAGACAGTCAAGCTGCCAGAGCACTGCTAGTAAGAAGACTCAAGTGCTTAGCGAATTACGAAAATGCGAATCGAATGTTGGAGAAAGCTAGACATAAGAACAAAGATATTCATGCTGTAAGTTTTTTATTATTAGTTTCTACTTAAAATTTAGTACTAACGTAAATTAGCAGAGGCAAGTGCGCTTATAGATTCTAACGGGTAAGTCACTTAGAGGTACTTCTTTGAAATGCCAATATAAGAACAATCAACATTATTGGGTTATATTAGAGAAACACCTTTGACGTTCAGTGTTTGAGGATTATTTTTCTCCAAACGTCAGTTATTAGCTGTGGTCACTATGACCCATTCTAGAATTCCAATTTTCAATGACGCGTCGGATTATTTCAAGTGGTATTCGGTGACCTTTAACGCGCCATAATGTCACATTATTTCTCAAGTTAAAGCATTTCCAGAACATTTGGTTTCAACCAACGAATTTGAATAGATTAGGAGTCAAGCCTATATGCTTACATTGCATTGTTTGGATGCTATTCAAGTATCCAATCATACTGGGTCACGTTTAGCAGGACAGAAATATTATCTGTGCTGCGATGTGAATCGATCGCTCAGTTATATACACTCATGTGAAATATTATCATTGAACATGTGACAGTTGAAGAATTGCTGGAGCTGAGTAGACAATTAAGAAACACATTGAGAGGTGGTGAATATGGTATTCCTACAGGCCTACTGAAGGCCCGCATATCTATAATTGCTACACCTTTGACCTACATACATTCAAAAAGTTCCAGGACTACATTCAAAAAATAGTAAACGATGGAAAAAATAATTTACAAATTTAGTTTTCTACATAAATCCCCCCCCTCTCTCTCTCTCTCTCTATACATTTCTTAGAATGTTCGAACAAGCTATGGAATGCCTGCTCAAAGTCATCCATAAGAATTCTCTTCAAGGCTCCTATCACATTCTGCTGAATCGATTCGATATCTTCGAAACGTTCACCTTTTAATGCCGCTTTCAGTTTAGGAAACAGCATGAAGTCCGCGGGGGCGAGATCAAGTGAGTGGGGAGCGTGTTCGAGCACAGTAACGTCTCTTTTCGCCAAGAACTGCTTAACAATGATAGAGGAATATGATGGCGCATTGTCGTGCATCAAAAGCCATTCACCGGCGTCCCGCATTTCTCTTCGTACTCGACGAATCCGATCCAGCAGACGATTTAACATCTCTTTTTAGACGGCCCCAGTCATTGTCTAGCCAGGAGATAAAGGAATTCCTGATGGATAATGTCTCGCAAATCTAAAAACGCAATCATGCTTTTCACTTTGTACTTCACAGCACGCACCTTGATTGGCCGTCCCTCTTCCTGGTCTCTCCATTCAGCTGTTTGGCGTTTCGTGGGTGGGTCGTACTGAAAACACGACTCATCACCGATGACAATGTTTTGGAAAAAATTGGTATTGTTGTCAGCCCATTCTACAAAATTTTGAAGTGTTATAACGCTGCTCCTGTTGTTCGCGCGTTAACAAATGCGGAACAAACTTTGCACACACTTTTCTCTTACCCAATACTTCGTGTACGTGTACGCTAAAGTGGATGCTACCTATACTAATTCCAACATCTTCAGCTAACACATTAATCGTTAATCACCGATTTGCAGCTAGTAATGATCACACACGTTTAAAGTTTTCTTCCGCAATGCTGGTTGTTGGTCGACCTGCTCGCGGATCATCTAACGACTCGCTTCCCGTTTTAAGTAGTGAAAACCACTCAAATACCTTCGATCGACTCAAAGTCTCTTCACCATATGCAATTTGCATCATTTGAAACGTTTCTGATGCATTTTTCCCGCACCTAAGGAAACATTTGATTGCCGCTCTTTGTTCCATTTCAAAAATCGTGACAATAGGTCTTAACACGTTAACCTCTATCACAGTCTTGCTCGCCTCGTGTTCGCTTCAACGTAATGAAACTACTACAGTTGGTCGAGAAGTCATCAGTCTACGGACTTCAGCCGTTGTCTGATAGATCGCGCTACCTGTATATTGTTGAATAAAATAGTGCCGGAACTTTTTGAATACAATAACTGTTTAAAATATGATATATTTCCAGATAAACTTGCAATATTATTCTAGTGTTTAAAAGGGGAGATGCACAAGGCATGATGAATTACAGGCCTCTTAGTTTGCTTTCCGCTTTTGCAAAACTTTTCGAACTAGTAACTTATGGACGTATTATGATTCACTTCACTAAACATAATCTAATATTTGGAACACAACACGGTTTTATAAAAGGTAAATTGACAAACACAGCAATTCATCAATTTAACTGTCAAAAGCATGTGATTGTGTGGATCAATGGATACTGTTAACCAAGCTGAAAGATTATAGTATAAGTTGAAGCCTTGTAAAGTGTATTATATCTTATCTCTCACAACGCCAGCAAAAAACGGATTATTAAAAATGATAATTCTGCAAAATCAAATGAAATTCATATAGAAGTGGCCATCACTTAGGGTAGTATCCTTGGAACCATGTTATTTATAGTTTCTGTCAAAGATATATCATTAGATCTTGATCAATCCTCTGAAGAATTGATATCACCGATGATGCTAGCATTCTGGTAACTGTACAAAACATTGAGGAGATAGTCGAAAAAGCTTTATTTTTTCACAGTAAGCTTTCGGAATGGTTTACAAAGATTAGTGTGGAATGCAGAAAAAATAAATATCGTGATTTTCAAGTCCACGCATTGCAATTGTACTATCGTGATTTTGATACTCTCTATCCTAAGATATGAAATGCTTTTTTATGAACAAAGAATATACATAAATCGACTTTTATAGTCCAAACACAGCTGTCAGATGTATGCTTAAAATGTCACAAAGAGAATTGTACCGTAGAAAATTTTAGATCTATATTTTATCAGAATTTATCTTAGTTTAGGCTCGCGCGACCGAAGGTTCTAGCGTCCGCTTGGTTCCATTTCTTTTAACTAATAGTCTATAGCGGCGCGGCAGTCAGACCTTGCGTTCGTAAAGAAATACAATGACTTGTGAAAGCGTTTTATAGATTTGTAACGCGATATAAAATGTTTCTGCGCCATTTCTTTACGGAAAAAAAATACGTCATCTTCTCATGTAGAGCCTAGAGTTGGTGACTTTTTATATTGCGTTCAACTCTTAAAGACCCAATGGCGTTCGGAAGTGAATAAAACATCATTCTTCATCTTCAAGCAATGCAAGAAAAAGAACACTAAACTCTCCTTTTTCATCTCTCTCAAAATTAATCTGATGCACCCAGTATCTTATTTTCTTATCGGCTATCGATGTTGTGAAGTTGTGATTGTCCGTAGGTGGTAGACAGTGTGTGACTGTCGAACGCGCAGGCACTATGCGGCGGATCTCTAAGGCGGAGCCAGAATCTGTGCATGTTACATGCATACGTGTTCCCTCGATAGAGTCCGTGTGGCGTCCCCCCTTTCCCCTGTACCCCCCTATAGCCTCACGGTACCACATGGGTGTTTAGGTTGTAGTCCTTCGTGCTAGCTGGAGTATAAAAAAAGACTCTTCCAAACTCCACAAAAGCAATGCTTCGTCTTCTGAAGACAAACTATCGAAATACATATTTCACCTAGAAGTAATCTTCGTAAAGTGGAACGCAGCGTTCCTGACTGTCTCCTGTCTGTGTTAAAACTCGTCAGATAAATTGACCGGACGAACGCGGCTTGAACGCTGAACACTTAACGCTTGTCTGTCTGCGCCAGTTCTAACTGTTCGTCTTTAAAAATCGGGCTCCGTTTGGAAAGTATCTACCAGTGAGTAACTATAACACTGGAACGCACCATCTCTCTTCAGTAGACAGAAATTTAGAATATAGCTGTTCGAACATTTTTAATCATCTTCAAATATAAAAAAGTAACTAACTAATTTAAATTTCTTTAAGATAAAGGTACACAATTTTTTAATAGATCTTGAACCTTATTTCATTGTCTTGATTTAGCACGACTTTAGTTTTTTTTATTGACTTTATTTAAACTTATATTGTGGGTATATTAAATTAAATATTTATTATCGGTACAGCATATGAACAATTCTGATTAATTCGTAATCGTGGAAAGTGGACAATACGAAACATTCTCTGCGTCAAACAGCAACAATGGCGGAATATCTGATATTGGAAATAATGGGAAACCTTGCTTGAATACTGCTTAGTTTTTCGCGGAATGTTTGTTGCGATCCGAGCGGATTCGTGGCTAAATGCAAATACCAAGTTGGGCATAATATGTAAATGTCTATCATATCATTGTTACTATATTAAACCTATGAAAAGATTTGGAAGAATTTTAATGAATTTGGTATTCATAGTTTTTTGAACATGCTGAGATTCCTCCATAGAATCTTGTGGCACCAAAAAGATCATAAAATTACTACTTGTGACGCAGTATTACCTTTCCTAAGAACTTCATGATTCGAAATTGAAGTAGATAAAGTTAAATGTTAGTTTTGTTAGATTAAAGTTTCGCTTTGGTTTGTTTCTAATATTTTCTATTTTTCATTGTTTTTCTATAGAATTCTGTTAAAAATGTCAGATTGGGACTCAGTGCTCAATGAAACAAGAAATCCAACGAAATATCATTAAAATTAACTCACAACTGTCCATGTACATGGTCTTTCTCAATGCTGATGATACATAAAACTATGTGATAAAAAATTGCTCTTGTAAATTTGCTATTATTCAGTTTAAACTGCTTTTTGCAATCTTCAGAAACTTTCACTATGTTCTGCAACTGTCTCGAGCACTAGGAATGTGTGGTACCCACGCACTTGTATGTTTTCGCAGAAAAGTACGAATTTAATTTGAATTGACAACTTTCAAACTGGCGGCTTAAGCCTAAGCGATTTGCAGTATGCACTTGAATGAATTCGTTAGACGGCGCCTCGCACAGTGGGTGAAACCATGCCTTTACTGCGACAACAGTTTGTCAGACAGCAATTTCTAGTTTCGGACCGATAAATTAGTCGCCTGGATGGTGTGAGGTAACACCTTTAAACATTTACCATTGTTATGTCTACATAGATAAGAGAGTACGATTGGGCAGTCAGAGATCAATATT